GGCTACGGGCCAAACCCAGAGCCCAGGGCGCCGCGGGATGGGGGCGATGGTGCCCCATGAACCGGCCTTGTCTGGGTTTCTTAAAAAACCGGCTGTTTCAGTGAAATGTGTTAAAAATCGGGGGGTGCTGGGAGGGGTGAGAGCAGGGCACGGCCTGGCTGGGATGGGGGATTTTGTTCAGTGCCAGGCCGGGGGTAACCCCCGTCTGCTGCCCCGGTGGTCCCGTAAAACGCGGGCAAGCCCCTGTCCTCCCCCGAGCCCTCTGCTCTGGACCCGTGTGTGTCCCCGCAGGTCCGGGCCTGCCCCTGCGTACGTGACCTTCCCTGAGCCAGACCCTGAGGAGCGCAGGGAGCAGAAGGACCATTAATTGGCGATAAAGGACTTTGTTTGTCCTCCCGCCCGCTGCCTGTGGCTTTATCGGAGGAGCTGAGAACACTCTGAAGTCACTCCGGGAGCTATCTTGGGTACTGTCCTTCCTGAGCAGAGATTGATAACAGCCCGGTGGTAAACACGGCTGAGAGCAAGCGCCAGCCGGGAGCGCAGGGGAGAGGCCCCCCACGCCGGTGTCACACCTGTGACCTCTGCGGCAGGGGGGACGGGACAAACTCTCCCACCCAAGAGCTGAGGGGCAGCAGGTATGGAGGGTCCAGGCACCCACCGGCAGCGGGGAAATCGCTTTTTAGGAGCCAAAAGAGAAGCAGGGCTTGAATCCGTCATCATTCTGGGAGCGGAGGTCCAAGCCAGGGGAGCCTGTAGCATCCCGGGGAGCGATGTACCGGGAGCTGAGAACAAGCCCTGGCTTGCGCCCACAGCATACAAGGCCACTGCTCTGCTTTTTGGGAGAAAAACTGAACAAACCCCAACCCCAGCTGTTAAAAATAGGCACCGATATTTGTACACTCGCCGCGCAATACGGTGAAATATGCACACGCGCGCTCAGAAACGGTTGGATGGTGCTTGGGATCCTGTTTTTAACAAAATCTAGCTCGTGGGTTTTTTTTTTCTCCCCGCAGCCAAGTCCTTGGTACAAATGTTCACTGGGTGACGCTGAAAATAGATGAGGAACTGCTGGCTTTGGGGTCAAAACAGGGGGAAAATGGCAAATAAACGAAAAAGAGGTAAAGGACCACAGGGAAGGCGCCTTGCTAAAAATAAGCTTGAATTGCAAAGCCAAGCATAAATATTTTTCTTTCTTTGCCATAACATTGCCGGGTAGGCAGGGAAGCGAGCAGCCTCTGGTGTGACAGCAAGTTTTAAAGTGAAACATTAATTTTTGATTTCTGAAATAAAATAATCCCAACGTGATGCTGAACGCTCGCGCTTCTGCTGGGAGGGGAGGTGTTGCGGGGCTTGCAGCTCGGTTTCCTTCCCCAAAGAGGCTGCGACCCGGGCTGCTCTTCTGCAGCAGAGCCTCTAGAAATGGTTTGGGGCTAGAAAACAAAGTTTCAACTGCAGCATTAGGAATCCCTGCGCTTCCACTCCCTGGGTACTGCTGCTGGCATAAACCCAGCGTGATTTTTGTGGCTGAGCAGAGTGGGGGGGGTTTTCCCCCGCCCCAACCTGCTGCCCTTTCTGGGGTGGTTCAGGATGAGGGATGAAGCTTTCTGGACAGCCCGTTCCCAGCTGGCTGTGCCTTGTGGGACACCCCCCCCACGCTCCCCCCCGCGATGAGATTTCCTCGATCACACCGATTTCCAGCCTGGCCGGCTTTGCAAAGGGTTAAGCAGGAGCCGGTGGGGGTGGCTGGCGTTGGGGAGGGTCCTGGCTGGGCCCCTTGCCTGGGATGTGCTGAGCTCAGCGGTTTTGCAAGGCTGCAGGGGGAGGGGGCTGGGGAGCAGGAGGAGGAGGAGGAGGAAGGGAGGAGATGTACTGGGGGCTCAGCGAGTGCCTCAGCGCACGTCGGGAGCAAACCGTGCCCCACGTATGCTGGGGGGGGAAAATTCCTGCTCCACGGGGTGGCTGCCACTGGCCATGGCGTGCTCCCTCTCTTCACGTTGGTTCCCAGCAGCTCCGTGCCCCAAAAAGCTGCTTTCAGTTAGATTTACACATTATTTTGGCACGTGATCGCCGGCTGGGGCTGACACAGAGGCTGGTATGATCCTCCGTGTCCAAGCATTCATGTGAGGAACATAACAAAGGGGCTGAGCTGGCGGTAGCCCGCTGGTTTTGGGGTCTCCCCTAAGTGCCTGCAGGGTGGGTGTCCTTTGCACCCTCTCTGGCCCTGTCCTTGGTCACCGGGTCCCCAGGGGGTAACTGGCACATGAGGGGTGACCCCCCGCATCCTCCTCCACCACGCCGAGCCCAGCTCTACCAGGCGAGCCGAAGGCCGCAGGGCGGGTGGG